TGAACCCCTAAACCTTAAGCCCCAACCCCTAACCCTAACCTTAAACCCTAAACCCTGGGGGGGGGGACCGCAAACCCCCAAACGTAAACCTTGAATCCAAAACCGACTCACTGTGCGACAGCTTAAAAACCCTAAACCTTACACCCTAAACCGTAAACCCCAACTCCTCAAACACACCGCCGGGAAGGGGGGGAGGGGGGGGGGGACCACACCACAGGGAGGGGGCGGCGCGCCCTGATCATATAATTATATATATATATATATACAATATATATATACACAAATATATATATATATATATATATATAAATATAGAAATATATACATATATAAAGTATAATATACAAATATATATATATATATATATCTAATAATATGATATAACAGAATATCATATCATATCATCTAATCTAATATAATACAATATAATATAATATAATATAATATCAGTATTTACACATTTGCTGCATATACTACGTGCAAGCATGCGGGTACGCAACATAATCATTCGAAATCTGAATCGATAGAGCTTCAGCGAGCCCACGAAGCGGAACGCGAGCTTACGACAAGACCCAACTCAATCTGCCATTCCAACCCGCCCACTCCTTGTCCCTTTCTCCGCTCCCCGCGGTATCGCGGAGAAGTGATTTTTCTGCGTCCGTTCAGGAACCAAATTTGCCAAGGTTCTGCCTTCCAAGTATGTGACGATACCACCATACAGGAAACTGCTGATGAAGGAGGAGGAGAAGATGCCAAACACTTGCCTTGCATCTCCAAATGGAAGATCATGGAAGCATTGCTGGATTTGAGTTGATTCAAGCGCCACTGAGACTAAAACTAGAAAGAACACACATATTATGAAAACCTGTAAGGCTGAACTTCCGCGCTGCAACTTCTCCCAGCCCTCCAGCAGAATCGGCAGGGTTGACAAGAGCATCGAGGACACCAGGATCGCAACCCTTAGGTGTTGTTTGCGGAAGTTCCAAGATGTGCCCCAAGCACTCCAGAGGCTCCCCGAGAAATTTTTGTGACGGGTTATAATCCAAGTCGCAAGAGAGCCAAGCGGTGCTGAAAGAAGAAGCCACTCCTCAGCAACAAGTTCGGGAAACTGCGGTGAACATCTATTGTGAAAAGGGGGAAGGTGTATTTAGCCTAGCGGAGTCTCAAACGTCCCAATCGAACCACATGCCAACGAGCGATAGAAAGCACAAATCCGCCGAGGCCTCGGGCCGAAGCCCCCCACCACCCCCCCCCCCTACCCCCCGCGCCCCTGCGAGTTTGGGGTCGGGTTGCGGCCTGCGCTGCTCGTGTCCTGCCTGCAGCACCTCAAGCCCGTGTGCCTGCAGAGGACTCTGAACATTGGAATGCCTTGAAGCCGGCGGGTCTGATTGTGCTAACCTAGCCCGACTTCCAAACCAAACTCAACCGTACCCTCCTCGCTATACATGAGCCTACACCCTAAACCCTAACCCCTAAACCCAAAACCCTACACCCAAAACCCTACACCCTAAACCCTAAACCCTACACCCAAAACCTTACAGTAAACCCTGTGCAGCTCTAACTGCTGTCCCAGGCTGCGTAGCCAGGCGCATGGCCGGGATCTTGGCGGCGCCAAAGCCCAGGATGAAGGTCATCGAGAAGCCTCTTCTTGGGGGCTGCTACAAGCCTACTTCTCAAGTGGGGTTTCGGAATTTCAAGGGGAGATCTTAGTAAGGTCCTAATTTTACGGGAGTCCTACTATTTGGGGTTTATATCTGGGGTCCCCGATTTTTGTTTGGTGAGGCTTAGGGTCTGAAGGACCTACCAGAGCCTCGCCAAGCGACATTCCTGCAGTTTCAGTGTTTTGCCGAAGACGACCATGGTCGGGGCGTCCAGGATTTCTTTGGGGAGCCTTGGCGAAGCACGGGTAATCACAGGCAATCACAGGTACAAACGTTGCTTCCAAAACAGCCTCCACTGCTCCACTGCCTTCCGTTTTAAAATTCGCTTTAGGCACCAGGTCACACCAGGAGCCTCTGAAAGCCGAAAGACAGACATTTGACCAGTGTCCGGGTGCTCCAAGGGACATGAAAATAGGATACCTCCAGAAGTAGGAGAAGGCATAGCACAGTGAGGCCTCAGTGTGCTCATAGCTGTCAATCACGATGGATGGTGCTCAGTCAGACTCTGCACTGGATGCAACGTTTGCACAGATGTTCACAAGCATCAGACTTTTCTTCTGGCGCCAGTTAAAAAGGCTGGCTATACTTTAAAAAGGATCAGTCTTTCTTTTTTTCTGTCTAGAAGCTTCTCTCTCTCTCTCCCTTCTTCTTCTTCTTCTTCTCCTTCTACTCTCTTCTTGTAACTGTACACAGCGGAAGAGCAGCGAAGAGGCCCCACTGGGGGGGAACTCCCGATCTGTTCCAAGGTGTGAGAAGGGGGGTCCCCATGTCTGTCTACTCTCTTCTTCTTGTACACAGCGGAAAGGCGCGCCGCGAAAGGGGGCACTCTAGCCCCCACGCCCCCCGCCCTGTCAAGCGTCTCTGTGACATGCTTGGGCACTCCGTTAAACTCTGGTGCTGAGCCTGCGGAGACGAGAGCGTGCTTGCCCCTCCCCGGTTGTCAGTCCAGCTGGCCCCTTCAATTCCTCCGTCCCCTTCTGCGGCCCCTACTGTGCGCAAGGCATCATGGAACTCCGCTACTCGGGCGTCGTTCCCGTGTCATGTTGTCTCCTTGTTGTTTTTCTCTTCCTTCCTTCCTTCCTTCCTTCCTTCCAGCGCTCTGAGGTGGTGGTGAGAGACGCCCGCAGGCAAGCGGTCACCGAGTCTGACCCCTTTGCTACAGGTTCACCCTGGTCCCTCTCTCCCCCTCTCCCCCTCCCTCCTCTGTCTCAGGCCAGAGTGGCAGTGACTGCTATCCAAGCCGTCGTTCCTGGCCGGGGGGGGGGGTGTTGCAAGACTTAAGGCAACTTGAAATAACATGCCGCCAAGGTCTATCTCCCTTGCGCCTGTCCTGGCACATGCGGTGCATGGCTGGTTAGAGTGTTCCCAGAGGATCGAGATGATCCTCGGAAGCTGCGACTGCTTCGTGTTTCAGGGAGTGGGAGGGAGTGCCCCTTTTGACGCACAGCACAGCTGTAGCTCCAGGGAGCGCTACTACAGTAGTATCCGTGCAACTCCACTTCTCTCTCCCAAATGCCAGCACGGCACGTCGTTTGACGGATCTTGGGCCTCGGCGGGGTTTCTGAGGTTACACTCTTGTTGCTCCAGCCGCTATGTTGAGAAGAGGACGTTGTTCTCGGTGTTTTGGCAGGTACTTTGCAGTCTACCCAGTGTCCGCGTAGCTGTGGAACGAATCCTAACAAAGGCTGCAGCATGTGGCAAACTTTTGCTAATTTCATGGGGTCTGGCTTCTGAGTCTAGCGGCATGCTTGCATTGCCAGGATGCTTTGGTACCATACTTGCTGCCACTACTTCTCATTGAACCTTTTCAACTGCAACTGGTTGTTTGTGAAAGATTGAAGACATCAGGTTGCCATTCCTCTGCCCTGGTGCCTTTCTTGTGAACAAATTCCTGGGGGCTGCTGCTTTGTCAGTGTTGCTAGCATCTATTCTCTTTGTTTTAGCGCTGGAAGGTGTTCCTACCAATGCAGCTTCATGATTTCTGGCGTTTGCAAGACGGCACAGCCACTGGCTGCAACTGAGCTTCCAGTGGAGCAACCTTCAAACACAAAAGCTCCTTCAGACTCCCCAAACTCCAACTCTTGAAGCGTTTAAAGCTCTTCTAAGGCCTTTCAAAGTACTTTAGAGCCCCAAAGCCTTTGAAGCCGCGTTGCCAGACAGCCCCAGGAGCTGGGTTGGCTCCTCCTCTTGCGGGCTCATCGCATCCTTCGCTTTCGGCTTTGGGTGAGCTTCGGGCTTCGGGATGAAGGGGGTCCGACCTGTTTCTTGGGTTTTTGGCGTTTCAAGGTGTCAGGGTTTTTGGAAAAAGGCATAATTAGACATCATCACTTAGCCGTTGGAAATGGCTTTGCCTCCGAGGCTCGTGATGGATGGACTGGCTGCCTATAGGGCTTGTTGGGCTTGACAAGCTCCTCATCTGCCTCGGAGACCCCAGTGTGCAGAGTAACTCAGGCCGCAGAGAAGCAGCCCAGAGCTCCATTTTTTCGCGCGAGAAAGCAGTCTTGGTCCGCCCAAACAGATAGGTCTGACAAACCTCCACAGCCCCCAGAAAATGAGAAAAGGCAAGCTTTTCATGTTGATGCTTCAGCCGTCAAAGCCAGGAGCTATGCCTGCGGCAGCCAAGGTGGGGCCCTCCCTGTCACGAGCACTGCCGCCAAGGCTCAAGCCCGAGACGGCAGCACCAGCCATGGGTCCCAAACTCTGCACGGATCCATCTTCAGCTTCTAGGTTTGTGGGTGTAATTTCAATGCTTCAAGCAGGGGATAAGGGTATGAGGACGTCTCCTGGTGATGGGAAGCAACTGCGTGCGGCGCCCAATCAGCGCTCGAAAGCTTGATACATACAAGTCGTATCAGCAATGTGGGGCCGTTGAACTCAGAGACTTCAGTGCGTTTCAGCAGATCAGCCAGATGGCCTCAAGGCCACATGGTGCCTTCACAACTTCACAACATTAGCTCATCTTGCATCCATAATCAGGGCTGAAGGCCTAAGCCTGTCTATGCTGCAAGGCATGCTCAAGATGGGTGCATGATTCAGAACAGTGCTTCAGGGTTGCGCCACATCACCCAGGCCACAGGCTCTGACGCAGATCCCCTGAACTCCAGCCGCATACTGAACAAACAGTGCGGAAGCAAAGAAGTACATAACGAAACCATTCGTTAAAAAAGGACAGTACATGATGCCCCAAGAGACCATAAAGCTCCGCGCCCAAAGCCCGTCACATCGTGAACCATCAACCCTAAACCCTAAACATCCCTAAACCCTAAACCCTAAACCCTAAACCCTCAACCCTAAACCCTCAACCCTAAACCCTAAACCCTAAACCCTAAACCCACTGGCCTCCAAACTCTGCAGGTGGGCCCGGGCCGTTGCCTCCAAGGCCTCTTACTAAGCGCACAACGGTAAACAGATAGGAAAGACGTAGATAAGCATTCTGGTAACATATATTTATATATATATATATACATATTATGCGTATACACATTTTGTAGAATTATGATTATGCCTTTGAAACGGTACCCATCCTCTCATGCATGTGGGCCTTTGCTGTTGCGAGTGCGGGCACAGGTGATCCCAGCAACCGAACGCATGGAGCTTAGCGTGCGCAGCCATCTAGTGGAGCCGTCACCGAAGAACCGTACAAAAGACAAGCTCACAAAGCACAATGGTACTGATGCATTTCAATAACCACAAGAAGAAGCAAAAGGAGCAGAATCATAAGAAGAAAGGGGGCTCTGTTGTATCGGCTGAGTGCGCTGACATGCACATCACGGCGGCTACGGAAGCCACCACCAATGGCGACGGCAGCACTGCTTTCGTAGGTGCCATCTTTCCTCCCAAGCGCGCTTGGGGTTTAAGATGTGTGCAAGGGCTTTCGTGCCGCAGACAGGAGCGCACACCCTTCTGGGTTGCATACACAGCATCCACTCACCAGGCCTGCGCACAATCGATGGCCGCGAAGCCTGTTTTCAAGGCCATGCTTATGGCAAGCGATGCAGAGTGTGTCGTCTCGCATGTCGTCTGTGCTACCCCGCTGTTGCATCTGAACAACTCAAGCGCGAAAAGGGACTAACGTTGTCGACGTGGCAACGGCCATGTGCTTGAGCATGGTACTTGATGTGATTTCTGAGGAACTTCACCAGTCGGTGGCAATGGCTTTCGAACTTGCAATCGATATACCTCATCCCCGTGCTACAATGCTACGTAGCATTAGCCCGGTATCTGGCCTGGTTGCGGAAACTGCTCTGCTGCCGCATGAGCCTGGCCATGAACAACAATTCAGAAATAGGATGCTGGAAAAGGCGCTTGTCGGGAAATCAAGGAACGCATCTACAGTCAACCTCGCTCGAATGAAGTGTATGTGGGCAGCGTTTGCAGTCACCGGGGCCCTATTCGACGGCCGCTAGCACTTCCCAGTAGCCGACGCCGCCTACAAACCCTTCGGACGCCGACAGCCGTAGCATGCCGCAGGCGTGGAGCAACAGTAAGAGTCTAGTCATCCCTATAAACCATCTGATAGCTGGATCCCTGCACCACTTATAAGATGGCCCTGCACGAGTAGAACTTCGATGTGCTGAGAAAAATCGCGCAAGGCTCGCGACTCCGCTCCTCGGACTTTCTCAATCTCTCTAGGGTGTATAGGGCATAGGGTTGAAAGTTCCATGATCCCATAATAAGGGGGCAAGAAAGCATCCACATTCGAAGCTTCAAGGGGCTGCTCAATGACGTGTCGTACTCGCATCCGAGACGGTCTGATTCACCTATGGTCATCCTCGAGTCCGCGACATGCATGACAGAGCGCAACGGTCCCATCGAAACCCTTTCAAGGCCCGCGGCCATAGGCAGGGGCGGCTCGCGGCGCCCGACGGCCTGTCAGATGGGTTGACAAGAGTACCTCTTAAACTTCCGATCTATTTTTGTTTCCGTGTTGGGCGAACTTGTGCAAACTTACGATCTACCTCAGATCGCATCACACACGCAGCGTGCTCATGCACCTCAAGGTAACACCCCGAGAGATTGGGGCCAGGCTTGCCTGCATCTTTGCTCTGGTCCTGCAGCTGGGCAGTAAATGCACATTGGCGGAGTTTTTTTCCCTAGCTTTTTCTCCGGCTCGCTTTCCGTGCTCATGTTGGCTCTCCCCTTCCTGGCTTTAAATGCGACAGACATGCAGCATTTCTGCTCTATATGCTGAATAATACAGCATTTCTGGCTGTTGTACGTTTCCAAACGCTGAAAAATAGAGCATTTCTGAATTTCTGCATTTCTGCTTCACCACAAGCCGCAAATGCTGCAAACTACCGCATTTCTCACTTGTGACTGCAAACGTTCTCCCCTTCCTGGCTTCAAATTCCATGAAATGTGACATTTCTGGCTGTTCGCGGTCTCTAACTCCAAAACAACACATCCATTCTGGCTGTTGCAGGGCTCTCGATGCCGAGAAAGTGCATCATTTCTGCATCTTCTGGGGCTCCATCCATAAGCTGCCAACTGCGGTTTTTCTAATTGTTCCACGGCCGTAACATCCGGCAACTCTACTTGTTCCAAGACTCCAAATGCTGTAGATGACATCCGTGCTCTATGAAGCTACTTTGCATCTTAAAGGAGCGGAGGGGTTGCTCGTACGATGGGTTCTGGGAATTGAAAGACGCTCGACATTCTATGAAGCAAGCTTGCATGGCTTAAAAAGAGCGGGGGGTTGGGGGGGGTGGTGGGGGTGGGGGGCAGAAAAAACACACATGGCTGCGGCTTTGCGACAAGGAACTTCCCGCTGTGAGCATCCTCCATGGCTTGAAGCGCCTTCTTCTCGGCATCCAGTTCCTGCGCGTTTCAAGCTGTGCTTTTGCGAGTGGGGAGGCGGGAAAACCCCCATCTTCTGCACATGGAAATGTATTTCGACTCCCAAAGGCTCCGGAAGCAACTCATCAACTCGATCTAGACAGGACCCTCACACTGCTAGGCAGCTTAATAGTCGGAGAACGATCAAGCAACTGGAGATGACATGACAGGCATGCGCAAATGCGACACAGGCGTAGACTCAGTGGACTCGTAGACTCAGTAGACTCGACTTAAGACTCAGCAAGGAGCCCGCGCACCTTGGCCCGGCGAAGGGACTCGAAGACGGAGACGAAGCCAGCCACAGGAGGGCGTTGGGGACGAGCCTCGGTTGGCAAGAAACCTGTGCTCTTTGGGCCAGAGCTTCTCGAGAAGGGGCTTCAGTTCGCTGATTGCTGATACGAGTACGATAATTTTCGGGCTTTCTGGTCCTCATTGTTCTTGAATCGTGAGACCATAAAAGCACCTGTCACGACCGCACTAGGAGGAGCAGTGCGGGCAGAAGCGATGTGAAGAGTGCCCCATCATGCTCCGTATCAAAAACGACAGGAGAGCCGAAACAATAAATCGTTCCTCATATGTTTGGGCTGAGAGTGGTCCCAAACCCCACTACGCCATGTGTCACAGACCCCACAAGGGCCAAGTGCCAGGCGTCTTCGGCTGTCGCGGGGGCGCATGCCTGCCGCAGGAGGAGCTACAAAGAACTGCTACACTGCATCAAGGCTTCCAGGCACTTGTCGTGCCAAGGGACTCTGGCGGTCAAACCGGGAGTGCACCAGGATGTGCTGCCAGTGAATTTGATTCTGTGTTGCGCAGCTGTCAGATCTAGCAGAGGATTCAACTCATAGCAAGGTAACCTATATGAGCACCGGTGTTTTTGGGGTACCCTTTATCATGTAGAGAAGCTTCCCAACATCCCGCAGCACCTCAGCGACTTGCTTCCAATCGCCATCGGAGCAAAGGGTCTGGCGGTGCCCCACGACAAAAAGCTGCAGCCTGCATGGGGAGCTTCTCTTCTCCGGCTTCAAAGTGGCTTCGTGGGGGGTTCTTAACATCCCCTGGAGGCCATGATGGCCATTGGAACTTTGATAGGATACGACGATGCCTGCAAGAAGCATCATGGATTGACAGATTGAACCCCACAGGCAGCATTCCCGCAGCACAAGCAGTCCCTAGCGCCAGAATCTCAATTTCATTCAATTTCACCGGATTTCAAGAGATGCCTGGACCTGGACGTTGCCACGCATATCCGCTGAGCATCCTCAGGCATGCGGGCATCGGAAAGGTCGACTTGGGCTCCAGAAGTGTCCCGACTCCCTTTCCGGGACTCCCTGCCTTAACGAAGCCCAGGCGAGACTCTCGATTTGCGCGAACGGTGCTCCTTGGCAGGGGTCCGGCGTCTGAAACTTGGAGCGGTCGGCGAACGCCGAGAAACAGCTGCTTCCGGAGCTTTAACACGAAGGAAGCTCACTCTAAGCTTCATATTCTGGTGATAGCTCTGATGTACCCCCCCCTTCGCACACAGCGACTCAGTGCACTCTGAGCGTCAAAACCACAAAGTCGAACTCGCTACCCTGACACGCATCCACAGTCAGCACCTGCCACGGGAACTCAGCTTCAGAAGGTGACTGCAAACTGATGCGACCCATGGGGACATGAGAGCAAACCTTCGCATATTCCCATATTATCGTACCCTACCCCCCCACCCCCCCCCTCCCCCCAATTCTGCCCACTTCCTCAGTCATTGCCTCAACATCGAGGTCGCTGGGCACGGCCTTTAGGCGAGGGCGGGGCAAATCGAGTGCAACTAAAAGGCTTATGGCATATCACTCATGACTCATGCTCATCAACAGGGTGACCATTCAATGACAAATTTGGATGTTCATTTTTGTAGCACAAGCTCCGTACTGGAATCATCGTTCAAGTGAGCCGGCTGCATTTACATTGACTTGTGGTACAAGTTGGGTACTGGAATCGACGTTCCCGTGAGCCGGCCGCAGTTTCATAGATTTGCAATAGAAGCTCAGTACCGGAAATGCCGTTCCTATGAGCCGGCTCCGTTCTTTACTTCTCATCGTTCTTCCAAGCAAACCTCCATCCTGTCAATGGGGCCCGGCGAATTCAGAACGAAGAGGCAGAGGCGCGGGGTTATAGCACAACCCGATCTGTGAATATGTAAGTCCTGTGTGTAACTGTGTGTGTATAGGCCCCAGACAGGCTGGATGGGTTGCGGGCATTCGTGGGCTCGGGTCTTGGGCTTCTGTCTCAAAGTGCGGAATACCGGCTGCAAAGCCAAACCAAGCGCTTGTCCCAGCCTTCATCAGCTCTTCGAGCTGACCCTTGTAGAAGGTCAGCAGTGCCACAGAGGGCTTCGGCCTACGGATTCCGGGATGTCATGTCTCAGGTGCACAATGAAACGGTCTCAGCATATCATGGGCCTTGTGGGACTGCAGTGGGCAGGGCTCTGTGAAGAGTGTTTTGAGTATGTTGAGAGCATCTTAAATGGCGAAATATCATGACTGAGGTCAGGTCCCAACACGCTCGCGCAATCGTGTGACAACCTTGAGGCAGGTGCTCACCTGCGAAATTTTGCGGAGGCCCCACAACTCCAGCTGAACAACAGCAATCCGAAGCACAAATGCTGCTAATACATCAAGCATCACCAAAAGACACTGCGTAAATCGTGGGCGTTCACCGTATAGTACATGTGCCCGTGGCTACAATCATCGCCTAATTGCATGCCTCCAGCTGTAGCTCCTGCCTCGCACATATTTCACAGTATCCCTAAACCCTAAACCCTAGCAAATCAAAAAGCCTCTGCAAGGTTGATGTAGGACTTGTTTGGAGCCTCCTCGCGGCCTCCAGCAAAGACGGCCGAGCTCTTGGCTGGGCCGTGACACGATATGGGGTTTCCGAAAACAGGAGTACCCTTTTTGAGACTCCCTTTAAGGGGCTTCTCTACCCACCTATTTTGGGAAACACCCCCATTGCTTGCTGTAAAGAGCCCGGCAAACCCCGAACAGCGTGGACAAACGATGTGCAGCCGCGAAAGGCATCCCAGGGTCATATGGGGGATTACGAAAATAAGGGACCCCCTGATCTATACCCCCACATACTAGGATTCCCTTATAGTAATAGGACCCCCAAAAAGGGTACCCCTGTTTTCGTAAACCCCCATACAGCAGCTTGGACACGATCCCACCTTGAACATCCAGCCACACAAGCGGTCTTCGCTCGCAGGCTTGGCGATCCTGTGCTGAGCTGGTCTTGGGTCGCCTGTAGGCAGTACTGTAAGCACTACAAGCAGGTCTCTGTCAAAGAGTTGCGACCTATCCGACCACACTGCTTGCCATACTGAAGTCGCCTAGTACTTAACCCACCCGCTCCAAACTCAAGAATCCGGTCCGGCGGGATGAAATCATTTCTACTTGGAAGGGGGCATTGCACGGCTTCCTTCCCTCAGGAGCCTCAGACCCCAGGCTTGAACCCTCAACCCCATAGACCCCACTCCCTTAATCCCCGTAACCGTCAAGAACCCTTTGGGCCTGAAAAACCAAAACACATCCCAGCAATAATTTTGAGTCCGAAGAGCCCTTTCGCTGAGCTTGACGACATGCTGCGACTCATGTGTTTCGCGTGCTGCACAGACAAACTGCAAGGCTGCCGGTTCCAGTTGAAGCTGAAAAACAATCTCGAAGGATCCTAAGCTTATCAGGACCCTGTTTGATTTTGGGAGGAAGAAAGTAGGACAGGGGGAGAAGCACAACCAATCCCAAGCTAGAGGCTGGCCCTAGGCTCTGTTGGGCAAAGAAATTGAAAAAGGGCGGGGTGAGACAGGCTGTGTTGGAAGAAGAATATCTAGACTTAGACTGATGGTAGTTACTGTAAGCATTAAAGGGAACTTTTGGGGCAGACTGTAGAGAGGGGAGGGGGCCCTATGAAGATCACAAATGTGCCAGGGAAGGTCGCCACATTTTCAGCTGACCTGCTGATTCTACTGTCCTCGGCAACCCGACGTGGAGTCTCCAGTCCTGAGTAAGTCATCGGTATTGTGGTATGCGTTGTGTGCATGTCTCAACTTACATGGAAACTGGTGTTGTTCTTGCCGGAAGACCTTTGCCCTTATCTCAATCCCCGTTGCAACACCCGAGCCGCAGCTTCCAAGAACCACCGAGAACCACAACCTTGAAAAGACGTTGTGCCGAAGCGTCTGCCGGTGTAGAAAAGGTTACTCACCAGCCGGCCGATGCTTGGGTGCCTCCAGCTGAGCACGTAGGCGAGAAGTCACGTTTCTGCAGGAACGACGTGACTGAAACCCTGCGCATGTTGGCCCAGGAAGCTGGGCTTGAGGCATTCGATACTGCTCGCGGAGCTGGTGCACCCTGGATTGCAAGAAGGACGGTTTTGAATGGCTTTTTCGAACCTTCAAGGCATGAATGGCATGTTGGAAGTAGGCTCCTCATGGAACATGGCTCGCTCTAAACAGACGCCTGCCCGACGCGAGGACGCAGCGCTCCAGAAGCGAGCGATTGTGACCAGTTCCCTGGAAGATCGCGCATGGGAACAGGCTCAACAAGCGTCAGAGATGAAGATTTCATCGTTGTGAGAGTACACCCCATGGAAACCTGCAACATACGCACGAATCTGCAGACGTTCTGAGTCAATCAACCACATGCGCCTGGAAAAAAAATGGTTCTAAGATGTTCCAAGAAATGGGCGGCTGGATCGCGGTGCAGCCGCTGTTGCCCCACAAGAAGCCCACACTTATTTACTTCCAGCTTTCAATTTCTATTCTCGTCCAACGCAACTCGGGTACGCTATCCAAGCAGAATGCTATATCTAGAACCTGCATCTATGGGCATGCCACAATGCAAGGGCTCTGCCTTGGAATCAGTCATCTGCTGTGTGGCCTACACGCTTGCGGGCTCCGAATACGGCCTGCCCTTGCGCTATAATCCCTGAACTGCCCAGCCTCAAGGATCTGCGGCTGAACGAGCGATCTGGCAAAGTACATTTTTGCAAGTGCCTCTGCCTTTCGGCGCTTGATCAACAGCCAGTCGACTTCCCCAATAATGTTGACTTCGGATTCGCAACTTTCCCCCCCAGCCCCAAACAACTCGAAGCCGGAATCCTCGGAATCGCATTTGCCGGGACCTGGGCCTTGAAACTGAGAATATCAAGCCGTGAAAACCCAGACACTTTTTCAAGCTTTTCATACTCATCATGGTTTACGTCCTGTGATATCATCGCTGTACAATCCCGACTCCCGAAACACCAGCCAAATCTGCAACTTCGTGCCTTGGATTGGACAACAGTTACATGGTCATGAGTTTCACATTTCTCGATGAATCGCTACCTGGCAGGTTCCTAAGGTTACCAAATGATCGACTTCCCCAATACCATGATCGTCAAAAGAAATGCAGAGTGGGACACCACAACTACCCCGTGTGTGTGCGTGTGGCAATTTTTGTATTTATGTGTATACTGATTTAGATCAACTGGTCAGTGCTCTGAACTGGCCCAAAGTGATCACTATGCTTGGCATTCTGCGGCCGCTTTTGCTGGAATACGGCCCCCCACGTGTCTGCTTTGGGCACCTGTAAACTGTAAAACCGTAAAACCCTAAACCCTAAACCCTAAACCCTAAACCCTAAAACTGACCGACCCTGGCCTGCACTGATTAAGTTTGACGGTTAGACTCACATTGCTGCCAAGGCGTGTGCCAAGGTGTCATTGCAAGGTTTGGAGGAGGCTGTGCCTGGCCTCGAGATTTTAGGTGGCGGATATGTATATGTATATGTATATATGTATGTATATCTCTATATATATATATGTATGTATGCATACACGTATGTATATACTGCATGATATATATATATATATGATATTGACCTGCACAGTTTGGGAACTCCACCGCAGGTGAGAACACTTCCACCAATTTGATCTAACTCGGCCGGCGAGGCGTCGGTGGCAGTTGCTTGTGATCTCCCACAAGGACCTTCGCGCATTCGGCATTATTTCGGAACTCTCCCACACATCCCTAAGGTCCCCAACTGCCACTGGAATGAGCTCTTTGGAAAAGTTTGGGGAGAGAGCTCGGAGGCACTTCTGGTTGTGCCAGCACCAAAAGGCTTGGCCCCTGCGACACCACTTATGTCTTTCACGTAGCGAAGTCCTCGATGAAGAACCAGACCGCATGTCTCGGTTTAGGAGAGGAACAGAAAACACCAAGAAATGTGATCCAGCCCCGTCCATGGATCCGGCCAAGTTGGCAGGCTGCAGCCGCAGCCTTGCCAGGCTCACTTTCGCAGAGTCTTTTTTGTGCAGGGCACGCTGAGGTTGAGAGCCCGGCCGACGAATGTGCAGCAGATATGTATTCTACACGTCTGCCAGTAACGTGCTCCAGCCATGCTTGAAGCCGCTGTGCCTATGTTGATAAGAACATTTTATTGTGGGCGGAGGGGGGCGGAGAGGATTTGGCTTCGGTTCAGTTTGCGAGCTAATTTTTGCCAGGCGGATCCCGTGAGCGTGCAGGGAATAACCTTCCAGAAACCTCGCAAAAAACACGCCGTTGAGCCATTCACTTGCTTATTGGGGTTGGTCCGGTCAAAGGTCAATGAGTCAAGATTCCCTCAGAGTGTGTCCCCGTACAAAGAAGTCCAGGGCCGAGGTCGTGGCAGCAGTGCCGTGGATGACTCCGGCGTACAGCCACCTGCTATGGACGCTGAAGAAGGTGGGACGAATGAAGCCACTATGCGGTGTGCGTTGCAGTTGAAGGCCCTTGGCATTGGAGCCACGCAAGCATCCGCAGCTCGACTAATTGTTTGCCACAGCTTTGCATGAAAGCTCTCTTGTTGGGTCTTCGGCGCCCCTCAAAACGGGATATCTCCCAGGAAGGCATGAGCCATTCGCCGGGGCCTCACCCTTCAGCGCCCACAGTGCCTGAAGAGACACTTGTTCAAAGGAACGACCGAGCTCGACGGGACAAAACGTTCGTTTTGAACCTTGTACTTATAGTTTGTTTGGTGGCCACCCAGAGTATGCGTTTACACATGCCAGTCGCATGCTACTGTGCACGTGACACACACACACACACACACGAACAAAACATGTGTTGCAGTGACTAGTTTGGATGTTGGATACGAATGATAACAGCATCGCCCTTCGGAACGCCGGAGCACCCGTCGGAGCTGTCAGGAAACACGGCAGTTCGCGACCCGATTGGAACTGCAGCCGAGCTCGGATTCTGAGTTGGATCCTACTTGCAGCTGCCATAGACAAGATCCAGAGAAGCATCTTGAATGGCAGATTCGAAGATGCGACATGCTACGGCGACTGACACTGTAGTGGAACGCCTGAAGGAAAAGATTAGAAGGGAATGCCTCCAGCATCCCTTGTGCCGCGCACCTGCTTGATCAGCGCAGCAGCGGCAAGAATCAGCGCAAGCCGTGCGTGCACCAAACAAGCAATCCAAACAAAAAGATAACAGAAGTCACCGGACGGTCACTGAAAAGCCGACACCGCCTCGCTTGGTAGCGGGTGGACACCAAGCTAGGGGGGCAACAACTCCTATCCCACGATGAGCTTTAGTCGTTCAACAATAAGGATGTGTGGGCGCGCGGGTGGAGATTTTGAAGGATTTGCAACAGGCCCAATGCTGCCCCATGGTCACAGTGGGGATGCTTCAAAAGATAGCCACAGTTGCCCCCCTCACAAGGCAGCTTTTGCATCTTTCATACTTCAAACGTCCTGGATGAGCGGAGTGCATCGAAATCCTGGATCAAAACCTTCCGACTCTTCCCCAGAACCTATGAAAGTCCCCAGCAGCACAGACACAGACTAAGAGGCCCAAGGATTTCTGCACTCCCAAAGCTCGCCAGCAAAACGAGCGCTGCCAACGGCCCTTCGCTGCTTGGCACCGAGGATGCGATTGTCAAGGGAGCACTCCGCTCTTTAAAACTTTAAGCGTATAAGAAACACGGAAACTATAAGAACTCAACAGACATCAAAATCTTAGTTGTCCAGCTACCTGGGGGAATTAAAGGTTAACCTTTAGGATTATATTTCCCCAAAAAAGGTTAAAGGTTACCTACTCTACTACTAAGAAGTACAAGCCTTGTCAACTGCTCCTCTAAGCTCTCGTTTAAAGTCCAACTCCGATTTGGAGCGCAGAAGCGAACGAAGGTCGGAGCTTGCACCGATACGAGCCGTCTTTTAGGGCCTGTAGGGCTTATAGGGATTATCGGGCTTATAGGGCTTATGGGGCTTATGGGGCTTATGGTGCTTATGGGGCTTATAGGGCTTATAGGGCTTATAGGGCTTAAGGCGGGCTTAAGGCGGGCTTGGGGGGCAAAACGTAGATGTACACTTCGGCTGCTTCTGTTGCTACCACAGCATGCCCGTCGGTGAAGTCCCGTCGCCTTCAAGTGCGCACGCACGTCGGGAACTAGCTTGACCCGAGACGTGCATAGGCATCCCTTCAAACTGTGAGTAACCGTTGCTCTTGGGCCTTCTGAATGTAGGGTCGTCTCCAAACTGTCGCGCGAAAACCTGCTCTGACATGGATCACCCTTGTTTGTCGCTATTGCCGAAACAACTGCCATGATTCCTGGCAATTGGCAAGCTCATTGAATCGTATCGAACCAGGCAGCAAACGTGACACCGAGATCAGAACCGACAAGCCGCTCGCACATTCTTTCGTTCTACGTGCTACCGCTTCGGTGCCGGCCCCACTGTAAAAGTCGTCAAACATGTTCATGGGCGCGTCTATGCATGTTATCGGTATCCCCGACATACATGAGCGCCCCAAAAGGAGTGGATGCAGGAAGCTATGGCACGACCTACGCCAAAGCTTCAGGATGCGACCCGACACTGAAGAGGGAACGCGCGCGCCGCGAGTCCTTTGAGGTCAACGTTGTGTGCGACACACGCGCGGGGCTACGCGCATTAGAGCTTCAAAGCCTTCCACGCGGCCAGTCTTGAGGCCCATGATACCAAAACTCAAAATTGCCAACGCCAGCAAAGCAGCCAGGCAACATTCGGTGACGGCCGCATTTGTTTCGTCCCCCTCTATAGGTCAAAGGGGAGCTCGCGTCATGTCTAAGGCCCTCACGCGTGCGAGAAGAAGCGGGAGCTAGTTATCCTTTTTTTTAATATCAATGTTCAATGTGTTGCCATGTGTTGCCATGTGTTGTCATGTGTTGCCATGTGTTGCCAAATCTGCAAAACGTTTTGCAGCCTTGCCGCGGCCTTGCGGTGTTGGCAAGGAGCTTTCCGAATTCTTGTTGTGTACTTTGAACGTGGCGTTGGGTGCGTCACCCATGGCGTCCATGCTGGGTACGGATGCCGAGGTTTCGGCGGGCTTCATCTTGTTGTTGCTTCGCAAACTCGGGGAAGCTCTGTGTTGCAGATTGCCCCGGCAAGCATGGTGGCGGAGGGGTCCGGGCCAAGCGGTTCAAGCCTTAAATGCTCCGGCGCGATGACTCATGCTGCTCAAGCCGATGGGCACGCCGCTTATGGAGAAAAGAGTTGCACTAAGTGCATGAGTCATGGAAGCTGTTGAATGCCCCGGTCGGCCGTCAATCGCGTAACGTCCGGCTTTCGTGGTGCATACTCCCTTGTCTGCTCATGTTGCTGGCCGCGATCCTGATGTTGCGGGAGCTCCCGTGATCGGGAGCGGCCTCTTTGAGACATGTCGTTCGAGTGCCGTGCCTTGTGCAGTGATGTATGCCTTTTTCGCATGAGATGGTAAAGTGTATCACCCAACCTCCCAAACAAGAGTTTCTTACCAGTTTCTTCTTACAGCTCCGCTCCAGGTGGTTCGATGCGTGCCAACATCTGTCGCCTGAATTCTGCACAGGGGTGTAGTACCGCTCTTTGTCGCACGCATCGACTCAATATGGGTCCAATCGGGCTGTTCTTCGTTTAGCTGTTTCGTCCACTCCAAGTGTTCAACCCAAATGTTCTGACTCATACCCCCTTGACGCTCTATCAACCAGAAGCATTGATGATATCCTGTCTACTAACACGGCCCCAATCATCTGGGTACCAAGAGCTGGGATGTTCAGGAAGACTGCGCGGTGGAACCGCAGACAGGCTACACATGCACACAATTCAAATACACATGACTGCCGATCTTTCTCGGCCCCAGCCCGTCACTCTAAAGCGCTGTCGTAAAATCTCCATACCTTGCGTTCGGGACTGTCCGGGATGCAGGGCCTAAACTCCTCACAGTAGCAACAGGTTGTTGACCTCTGCGCGAGAGCAAGGCCGCTGGAAGGAGTCACCAAAGCCCCAGGAAACAGAAATTCTGAAGCGTGGTGCCTACGTTCCATGACTACAGTCCACTGCCCCCGGGCACATGGCTAGCACACAACTCCGACTGACTTCTGGGCCAACACATCCCGGGACCTTCTAATGTGGCAACTGACGAGTATCTCGGGAGTTCGACTTACATGTGCGAGGGAGGATACATCGTAGTGGTACCATCCTGGCCCCTCCGAGCCATTAGAGCCTCTTATAGCGTGCAGTACCCCAGGTTACCCCAGCTTGATCTGCAAGCAGGCTGCTTTCCTGGCGCGGGATCGTGCCGATGAGACATGGCCGACCGTGTCCAGGTCATCTAAATCCGAATCCCTCAGCCAAGGCTTGCTTACAAGGTTCTGAAGGTCAGGCCTTCTGCTCGATGGTGGCTGTGTTTTCGGAGGGATGTGGCAACCTTTACAACCGCCCTCACCAAGAAACTTCCACAAAATAAAGGCCCTAAAGGCCCTAAACGCCCTGTCCCCCAGACCTGGAAGCTCCTGGAAGCCCGGGACCCCAAGGTAAGGCTCGGGGAAGCCCATCGTATGGATCCTGAAAATGTGATGTGAATCGGTGTACCGACAGAGGACGCCTTGTTGAGGTGAGGAAGGAACACAGGAGAAGCTCAAACTCCGATGTGGGACTATCCCATGGAAGCGGTTCTAACGAGCACTTGTCCAAAAACCACCTGCATCCAGTCTCACAGGCTCAAGGCCGTCTCACGACTTTTGAGTTTTTCCAAAATCAACCACCCTGAGCAGGGTTGGCGTGCGACTGGTAACTCTCGATACTCTCAGCGTGCAACTTTCGTGCTGACATTCCTCCTCATGGATTACGTGCACCTGTGGGTGCTGTCGCCGGCCAGCCTAGCTGAGAATGGGTATTTTCTGAAAAGGGGTACCCATTTTTTTCCCCACATAGAAGATGAGAACCCCCTTCAAGAGACCCCCAAAAAGGGATCGCCCCTATTTTCGAAAACCACCAAATCGTTGTAGTATGTGCTAGTCTCCATCCTGAGGGCTGTCTTCTGCCGGTTTTGATCTTCGTCCGGAGTTTGGCGGGCTGCTGGGCAACGTCCTCAGAGGGGACAGGACGTGTTCAAGCCCCTCCCCTTTTTTGGGACTTGCGGAGGGCGAAACCTATGGCAGCCGCATGTCCTCCAAGAACTTGTGTAGCTTAGCATCATGGAGATCGTGTAAGAGCCTGTTTGGCGGAGAGGATACATGCTCACGAGCTGGGTGATCTTCGGGCAGGCCAGTCGAGTAGAATGATTTCCTGGTAGATTGCGAGCCCACGACAGCTTCGGTCGAACACATAGTCGATCCAGATTCCATCGAGGTCCAGGCTTCTGCATGTTCGCTCCATGTTGCTGTCGTTGCATCTTTCTGACAACCTGCGAGGCACGGCATCGAGTCCACGTTAGCAAAATCTTCCGTCGGCTGACTGGACGGTGCCATGTAGCAGAGCGGGCTGACCATGCTGTCAGGTTTGCAGGGCCGTGGCATCTGGCCCAGCACCCCAAAATCACCGGGGACGTGCTGCGGCTGCTGCGGCATGGCGCGTGCCTTGAGAGCCTCTTACTCACGCAAAGACTTGGATGCCTCTGAACCTGAACATCGCATGACGCAACGTGCATGCGTTCTGGAGTTCGAGGCCGCTCTCAAATCCGGCCCAGAGAATCTAGCTCACGCATGCTCATACCCCTTGCTTCAAACCTTCTGTCCTTGCCCAAGTCTCCTTCTCGGTCTTTGTCCCAGCCGGCCCTTCCCCGATACTGTACGTAAAGATTCAATAATCTACCGGTGCCCCCTGCATTAGAGACATCTTCCAGTACTCTCTTCCTTCATCCAGAGCTCAGATGCATATGCAGGGAGTTTCTGGGGCCTGTGAGGGAATCGTTCGTTTGACTCAGCCAGCATGACAAAGTGTCACCCAAAGGGATTAGCAGATGTTCGCACATGAGTTGCAAGAACGATCAACACAGTGTTGGTAGCGATGGCTTGCGCTCTGTCACAGTCAAGGCGACCCTACCGGCTAAATTACTTCGAGCTCGTAGGATGTGGTCTAGACTGACCAGGCTGTAGATAATGTAACTGCCTGTCCAACTCCACTGCTGAAATATGCCAGCTCTGCACTCGTCCACAACCACTGTATGCACTCGAAGCTCCGTCCCCATGGCCTGTCACCGATTGTAGAGCATAAGCTGTGGAGGCTTCCGCACTTGCATCTGAAGTCAGGCATGCTGTATGTACAAGAAAGCCCCTTGATGAACCTCGTGCTTTCTGCAACGCTGTCGGATCACGGGGTAACTACTGAACTTGCCAAGGCAGAGCTGCAACACCCGCGCCTCCTCCCACTCTCGCAGCATTCCTAGGCAATCTGGGTTTAATGCTTTCCAGAAAAACTCTGAATAAGGCCCCGAAACACTCTCGTGGCAAGGGCTAACGATCCTGTCTCTCGAAATCCGCCGAGGCCTCGGGCCGAAGGTGTATTGGTAGTCAGAACAGGCACCCCCCTCCAAATCCTCCCCCCAGGCCCAAAGCCCTTTTTCGGACCCCTTTTTTTGCCTCAAATGGGTACCCCCCCTAGGTGAGCAGGGTCCGCAAGCGGATGGTTCGCCAGGACCAGAGGCAGTTGCAGCCCTTCCCAGCAGGGCCCCCCCTTTTTCACCCACCCCACCCCCCCTCCCCCCCCCCCCCCACCCCCCCCCCCCTACCCCCCCCCCCTACCCCCCCCCCCCCCACCCCCCCCCCCTACCCCCACCCCCCCCCCCTACCCCCCCCCCCCGACCCCCCCCCCCCCCCCCACCCCCCCCACATAGTCCCTCCCCCCAAAAGCCACATGAGCGGCTGGGCTCGAGGTGCTAATGGACGCAACAAGAGGTCGCTTTTCAAGTGTTCCCATCGTTTTACAGGGTTTTCCCCTTGCTTAATTGAATGGCTGGGGGTTTTGGCGCTTGCTCACATAAGGTGTTTGTGAAAGGCGGAGTTTTCCTGCTCCGACGCGCTGGCTTGAGGGCCGGAGGCTCACTGGTGTGAGCACGGCCGCAAATCCGCCGAGGCCCCCCTTTTTTGCCTCAAATGGGTACCCCCCCTGGGAAACCGGGGTCCGCAAGCGGACGGTTCGCCAAAACCAGAGGCAGTTGAAGCCCTCCCAGCGGGCCCCCCCCCCCTTTCCCCCCCCCACCCCCCCCCCACCCTCCCCCCACCTCGCCCCCCGGTTTTCGAGGCTCAACTCCGGGGACGAAGAGTAACCGAAACCCGAAACCTTCAATCTTAGCTCCCCCCCCCCTTTCCCCTCTGCCCCCCTTCCCCCTCCACCCCTACCCCCCCTGAGGGGCCTGGCTCAACCCTACGATCAATCCAAGCCGAACCGTCTCTTGAACCCTAAACCCAAAAAAACCCTAAACCCCAAAGCAAGAACCTTGAGCCCTAAGCCCTCAATCCTAAACTAACCCTCAACCCTAAACCCCAGACCATAAACCATAAACCCGGAACCCTAAACCCGACTTGGGCGCTGCGGAATCACCATGCTCACGCGGATGCGCTGGGCCGGGCCGAGGCGGGTCGCGTAGCGTTAAAATTATATGTCTCCGACGACCCATTGAAACTATGGAATCCAGGCCTACAATGTGCAAAGCGAGATGGGATTCAAAGAGAACCTGAGTGCTTCTTTCAATTCTTCAGGACTTCATCCCCAAAACACTGCTGGGCCGAGCCCAAAACCTTTCTGAGAACTGCATGCAAAAAAATCTAACAACCCTAAAATAACTAAACCCTAAACCCTAAACCCTAAACCCTAAACCCTAAACCCTAAACCCTAAACCCTAAACCCTAGCCTAAACCCCCGGACAACCTTTTTTGAAACCCAAGCCGTAGGGTGACTGGGCTTTGCCAGTTCTCGCTAGCGAGGCCCTGGCGGCTCGTGGAGGCAATCGTGCAAAGCAGGATCCGAGCTTCATGAAGAGTCGCCTCTTTGGTGGCCTCCGTCAATTAGCGAGGGGTTTCGGGTTTAGGGCCAAGGGCCTCCGCCGCCACGAGCCCATCTGTTTGAAGCATCTGGAATGCTGCAGTCAAAGTCAGACATGGCTGATGGCGCAATGTCCTCGCAGCTGCTAGCTGTTGCTCATGCGGGACAGCACTGCTTGCGGCAACATTGGAGTTCAGCCAGCCATTGAAAACTTATCAATTATCAAAACTCTTTTGCATCCGGAATGCCTCCATGAAACTCTGGCTGAGGGAAGGTTTGGGCAGCTTGGGGATTCTGCTGCACCACTGAAGGTTCAATGATGGCACATGCTTCAAGAGACTGGGGGTGGTACGAGTAGGAGTGGGCCATGGGTTGGTACAGACTTTGGGGCAAGCTTCGAAGTGAACTTTTCAGATGTCGTTCCGGAACATCTTCTGCAGCAGCTCGCACGTAGAAAAGAACTTTTCGCAACCAACAGAAGGTGTGTTATGCCGTGCTCTCACTATGCATCTGAGGACCAGTCATGATCAGCCTGAGCATTGTGGATCAAAGGTATTTACCAGGCTGGGCTTTGCTACAAGGCCGACAATCCTCCCCAAGGCTGCTCCAAAGCCCCTAATCTTTGCCTGCGTGCGTTGACTGCACCATTCGGGTGAGGCAGCTGCAGCTGCACAGTACCTTCTTCTGAAGTGGCCAAGCATATCAGAGCACCACGTCGTATGAGCTGGACATGGATTGGATAGTGACACAAGCGCTGCAAGCATGGCAAAACAAGCAGAAGGTGCCTCTCCACGCGCATGCAAAGGTCACGCATGGCGTAAGCCTGAGTGCGGGTTTCTACCCGGTAGCACTGCTGCGTCCACACCCGATTCCACTTGTCATGTCTTCTCACTGCAGATCTCATGAAGATTCAGTGCAGTTCTTGCAGCTACATGATGGCCCGACAGTCGACCTCAAATTTCAGGGCCACCAAACCTGTCTAGAAGTAAACTTCTCGCACTGCCAGATCAATCCTAACCTCGGTCGGCCCCATGCAACAACCTTAGGGAGCCGGGCCAGAGCAAAACGCTTGCGGAGGAAGGCCAGCAGAAAGCGCTCCCCTCGCCGGCCACGACACTCCGCCTGACAACAAACTCCACATGGAAAGATCAAATGCCATCGCGTTGCCCACAAGGCCAAAGTGGCCCCCCCCATGTCAGTCACCGCCACTCAGACGTCGTCACTTCGTGAGAGCCTCCTTTGCTGTCAGGGCAGCGGACAGCGCTGCGCGGCTCTCTTTGGCAGCTTGAGCTCCACGGCGGCGTCGTGGCCTCTGAGAATTTACCAGGAAAGTCGTTTTCAAGGGCTGCTAAGAAAGAGGATCTCGAAGGCCCAAGAGCATCTTCTCAGGTCAGCCCTTGGGGCAACTCTGAGCCCCAAGCTCATCCAGATGTCCTCCCACCTGCAGTGCAAAGGCTGATTTTGACACCCTGACCTCTTGTCACTCCTCTCCCTTTGTTCCATGCCGGAAAAAATAATCACTGGGAGAGACATAACACGAAAAGCAGTGACGGAAGTCTCCCTCCTAACTGCTGCTCGCAACCACTCCAAGCTGACCGGAGCAGAACCCAAATGTGGCGCCAGCTTTTTGGACTCGCATGCCCACGTTCTCCGCAAGCGAATGCTGCTCTCGGTGTTTTTCCCGTGGGCCGCAGTGTCGTCTGTGAAGTCCAGTTTCTGCATCAGCGACATGCACTGGGTGGACCCTGCTCATGGAGCTGCAGTGTTGCCAGCACCTGCCAGACAACAGGCAGCAGCAAGCCGACTGAACAGAAACCCTATGCAAAAGTCATCCAGCAGGTGAGATGGTTCGGAGGGTTCAATGCCTTCTCAACAACATCCACTCCAGATGTTACACTGTGTGTTTGCTCTCATGACGTCGTGGCCCTCGGAAAAGCACACTCCGGGAAACAGCAGCAACGCTGTTAACATGGTGTATGGGCTGGGGTGAAGCTGATAGGATGGAGCTTTGTTGCCGTATTCTTCACAGTTGGGCAACATTGGTTTTCGCATGTTGCTGAACTCATTGACCTTTTGCTGGCCGGCTTGAACCCTTAGATAGGGTTAGATAGGGCTAGGACATCCGGTATAGGACAGTTTAGGGAATGTTTGCACACAATGATGGGCAAGAAACCAAAGATGACCGGAGAGCAATGAGGTAGAACTGAACAGAACATATTGACATAATGCCACACCCTTGGTTTCCAGGCTAAAATTCGACGAGTCACATCAAACGCAGATTTCCATATAGGCACAACATGACCAATAATGCATCATGTGTGTGGCGTGCTAAGGCCTCGTTGTGGCTCTTCCTCAGCCATTGGCCAAGTGTAGACTCACGCCATGATTTGCGGTGCAGCTATCCTGTGGCCAGTTGCTTGTATTACGATTCTATTTGGCCATCGAGGCTTTCAGAGTTGCGTCAGAGGGTTGACGTACTCTCGCTTCTGGGATCTGGGTGGAGGATTCGGACACGCGGGATCTGGACGACCGCTTTACTTTAGTGATTAGTTTTACATGTGCATGTGTCCGGCCCTAGAGGCTTCTTGTGGTCCGAGATTTACACGGGGGAGACAAGTTGACGCAGACTCCAAAGGACCAGGAGAACCAAGCACTGCAGGAAGGCCGGTGCTACATGACATGTCTCTTTCGGGGAGATTAGCAACATTTCGAGTAAGCTCAAGTGTAGTTACTTCGGCAGATGCCTTCAACTTGCAGAGTGCGAATATGTAGGGATGCTTCAATGCAGCCTGCTCGGACTAGAGGCAAGACGTCGTCCAGGCCAGCGGCCCAACATCTGCCGCGTGTCGCTGACGTCCTACACAGCTGACACAGCTTGGCATGAAGATTGCTGCTACACTGCTACACGTCCTCTTTGCGATGCGCCAAATAGAGGCTGCTACGATCTGCTACGAAGCATGGACACGCTTCCTTACTCGAAATATTCTCAATTCCAGCCTCAAACTTCTTTCAAACTTCAGACAGGCAAACGCTCAATTGCAATGACGCCTCATGGGAAACCACTTCAAGTCGTCTGCTGCGCAGTGAGTGGACATCGCAGTTCACAGTTTGCGGGGTCAAAGTCACGCCATCGCTCCTGCAGCATGGGTTCTACGTCTCTACTAGCACATGCTCTTGTGACATCTTGTACAAAGCTGTCAGATTTGTTCATTGGGGCCACGTGTGGATTGACACAAGGCGTTGCGAACCCCATCCTTGTTCATGCGATGAACGAGCACAGTCTTGTCGGTGCATCCATTCGAGAAGGTACTGCCTGAGGGCCGCCGTCTCATCAGGAGCTGTTTGCGTTTAGAGATTGATCCATTTAGAGATTGATCTACGTGGAAGTTTGTGCCACTTCCAGTTGGCACATACCTTCTGGCAACGTTGCGCGAGCCGCCATCAGCTCCATTGTGCTCCATGAAGTCCAACGTTTGCATTTTCCGGAAAATGACCTGAAACCTCGATGAGACCGGCAGATGAGCCTGAATCCTCACCAGATGTCCCGAGCAGCCCTCAGGCCTGGCATTGGATAGTCGTGGAACTGGCCTTCCTTCATATCAACCTGAGCACAGCAAACACTGCGCAATCGCAGAGCCCATTTACATATACAGCCGAACCAGTAGCGGAGCAGCAGTGGATACAGAAGCAGCAGCACGAACGGTATCTGAAGATTGTACACAGAAGTTTAAGAAACGGTGATGGATGAGGTGCCAGGAAGCCCAGTGGACCCCCTCCAATGGTGCAAGCCAAAAGCCCAGCTGTACGTCCGCTGCACCTGCTGACCATGTGTTGAATGAGTCCACTTTACATCTCAGCTGAGTCTCGAACTTACCTGATCACCCCTCAGAATGACAGACGACAATCCCTCAAGGAATATTGAAGCGCACATGCTCGTAAAGAGAGCTCCAAGCCAGGCCAAGCTGTCGAAGACTTTGTAGTCACTGTCGTCATGTCATTGAGGTGCCTTGCTTCTTCAAGTCTCCAACGTTCCGAGCGAGAAAGTCCACAATTCGCCGCCCAAAGACCTAAGGCCAATGAAGAAAAAAAACACTGGGTTGGGTGTGTGGTGGTGTATGGCGGTGTAGGCCCCCCCACACCAGACACACACACACACACACACACACACACACCCTTTTGAGAGACCAAGTTGCCCATCCCATGCCTAGGAACCAGCGTGGTGCACCTCTCGAACCTTACATCCAACGGGCCGGAGGGATATTCGGTAGCATGTGGACATGTGTGCGAAAGTGGACATGGATATCCACAAGATTCCACAAACCTCGGTTGCAGCCCAGGGTGCCGAAGTAATGTGCCACTTGCATGGTGTTTACCTGCCTTAGACCGGCATGGAGGCTACAGATGCTTCGCGCATCCAGTGCGCGCGGTTGTGAATTTCAGGCCAAGCCACGCTTTTCGCACGCAGTCCTTCAGGGGTACTGCTGTGGCATGGCTTCCATCCACAAGATTCGAGCAATTCAACCAGGCAAGTTATCTCCGGGAATGTACTGAAGGCATGCTCTGTCAGCTTTAGTAAAGGCCCGAGAGGATAGACGAGTGCTCGCAAGCTCCTCCAGGGTCCCTTCGGCCGTGTCTTGGCCGAAGAGCTTGCACTGGTGAACGAGGAACCTGGACAGCATCTGCTTGCGCAGGACAAAAGATGCCGCCGCGCCCCCTTCTTCACTCTGCAATATGAAAGCAAAACCTCCGAGGCCAGCCATAATAGTAATAATCATAGGAATAGTAATAGTACTAGTAATAGTAATAGTAATAGTAATAGTAATAATTAATAATATTAAATATGGGCCTTGGGAAGGAAATCCGAGGTGAGCTGTGCTCGAAATCCCTTCGCCCAGAAGCGCGCAGCCACCCATCGACATGCCGGGGAACTTGTTGCAGAAGGCCTCCAAGACTTGTAAATAGGGCAGATCTCGCCAGAAGTCAAATTCAACACCTACGTCACCTACGTCATAGGGCAGATTCTGGGATTGGGAGGCCCAGCGACGTAGGGTACCTTCGATGCCCTCGAAACACACTTTATACGACTGCCCCTTCAGCCCAGATACCTGAAGAAAAGCGTCTTTCCGGCATGCCTCACCTCAGTAGCTGTACAACGGTCAACATAGAAAGCCAGGAAGCAGCAGATTGTATAGTATTCACGAACCTTATACACCCTTCGCGTGCACGTACAGCACATGGCGGCAACGACCATTCAAGCATGTCTGTCATAAAACGATATTTGCGCATGGAAACCGGCTGTGCGCATGCACTACTAAGCAAAGCAGCCATCAAACGTTCACATTCCTTTCTCACAGATGAACCGGCCAACCACCGCCATCAATGTCACTCTTTGTGAGTCCACAATTCTTGCCCACACACACAAACACATGCACGCACATCTCTCAACAAGGTGCCCAGTCATGGCGAACTCCCAAGGCCCAGTCGCGCTTTGAATCCTCAAGCTGACTCTCCTGACTGCAAACCTTCCAGTGAAGCACAACCTATCAAACCCACGGAACCCTGAACCCTAAACCCTACACCCTAAACCTAAACCCTAAACCCTAAGCGACCTTTCTGATAGGACAAACGACAGTTCTGCGGGCAGACGCTGCAAATATGTGTATCCAGCATGTCAAGCTCCGTCTCCATGATGTATCCCATGGCCAGCGAAGGGGTGTTGTGCACCTGATGGCATGACGTGGCTGGTAGACTCAGTGTGGGAGCTTCAACTCATGGACCCTTCAAATTCTGGTGCCCAGAAAACCATGGGGAATGAAGCATGGTACAAAAGCGCGGTGCAAAAGCGGGTGCGCGAAAAATGGACCGATAAGCCCTGAAATTGCAAGCCTCCAGTAGAGAGAGCAGCCTCGGGACGTGCAAGTAGCTGTCATCGTCCAAGTACATGACGAAGTCTAAGTCAGGCCTCTGGCTTCAAATTTGTTGATTAGTTCCGTCTTTTTGTAACCGCACGGTTTTGCGGTAGGCAATTGAGTACAACTTGCATCTCGTCCCATCAAGAAAACAATAGGATCAAATGCTGCTAATTTCTCCTTGTCGCCTGTGCGTCGCCAACCAGGCAGTGCCAACGGCCAGCCGGAAGCCCCGTGCTGTTGGCCGCTCCAGGACATAGGTCACATCCCCTTGGCTTCCAGGAACTTTAGGTTTTAGGGTTTCGGGTATGACCACCCAATTATCAGACGCATACAGCAACATTGCAAGCATCTATGGCCCATGCTCTCGACCGGAGGGTCTGCATCCGGCCCACCAACGAAGATGAGGTCCCGGAACCTCTGGGGTCCAAGTCGAAGTGCCCCCCCCCCCCCCAAAGCTTGTCCGGCAAATGTCGGGGTAGAGGTGCAGAAGCTGGATGCTTGATGGTTTTACCAAGCACTGCCTCACACTTGCGATGAAAACTCTTCCTCAGCTCTTCCTCAGCTGGGCAGCCGGTCTTCCTCCTCTGAGAGGCTTTGTTGAACATCGGGGGAGCCGGCCGCCGAGTCCTTCAGCTGCGAAGTTTCAGCGCTGAATTTGTTTTGAGTGCCTTTATTTGCTGCCAGGGCCTGCGGCAGTGCGCGCGAAACAGCCATGAATTCACGTCGCCAAGGGTCTCCTAAAAAGAACAGCAGCTCCACATCATGCCTGGAGAGTGCAGGCAAAAGCAACGGACGCATCGCAACTGCTTTTAGCTTCCACTGATCCAGGGGCCTCATTTCTTGCACGCTGATGTCCGAAGACTCCATGACTAGTTCTACTAGTTACCATCCGATTGAAGGGGCTCCATGATGACCTAAACCCTAAAGCCTAAACCCTAAAACCCTAAACCCTAAGACCCTACGCCCTACAATCTCGGAGGCCGCCTCGGACTGCTGGGCAGTCCGCTCGTCTTACGTTCTCAAGCTTCATTCGCGCACTGTCAAGCTACCTGTTCACGACCCCCATATTGGCATTCGCCCGGGTTTCCAAGGTTTGGCAAGTCTGTGACCAGTCTGCTCGTCTTACTTTCTCAGTTCATTCTCACTTGATACTTCACAACATGTCACAACCCTACCTGGAGGCTGCGAAAGCAAGGGAAGGTGAGAGAGAAAGGCATGGGCCCACGTCAGAATGAAAGCAGCCCAGCAACTCTTTGGGGAGGTGCTGCAAGCAGCTGCCAATGGCCTCCCTCAGGATCATCCTCGGAAAGGCCAGGCTCGGGGTCCAAGGGGTCCCAAGGAGCACGTCGTGATTCTGAGAATCGGAACAATGTTGGTGGTTCGGTGATGTCCGAGGGCCGTGCCGCCGGTCGAGTGAGGACAGCTTGCTGGTCACCATGATCTGGACCTGACACCAAGGGCTGCTATTCTGAACTGACATTGTGAGACCGGGCGGCCTTGCATGCCCTACCCAACCAAATAAGTGTGGGCGAGGCCTGGCGTATTCTCGTCTACCAGAGACACTAGCACAGAACTGCGTGAACTGCAAAGCATCATCGCGAGTCCGACCACTGCTGTCCTTCCCCACGTCCCAAGGCTCGTACGTGCAGTCCATCGGCAAGCACAGGAAGCCATGCCAATGCGGTGCAGCACGTGACAAGCCATGCCACGGCCATTCAGCTATAGGCTACAGGCAAAAGGCTGCAATGAGGGAGGGGAATCTGGAGTGTTGCAAGATTCCCCCTTGCAACAGGTCCTGTGCTTCGCGCGGGCCCCGGGTTCAGTTGCCTCTGGGTCTGAGATCTGCGCTGATCTGCAGGGAATTGATTCGTGGGGTTTTCGTGGCTTGACTGATATTTGCATTTCCCAGCGCACTGCTTGAGATGGCTTCAGGAGCATATGTACTTCGAGCCGTGCACTGCGTTCTGTGTGTTCATTTGCATCCCTTTCATCGTGTGCTCCGGCTCACAGCAAGTCCGCCTGGGAATCCAGCAAATATCGACGGGCGGTGCCGCCAACCTTAGGTTTGGAGCTGAGCCTGTAGGGCCTCTAGGGTTTGAAGCCCAGGTCTCCGATTCTGGATTAGCTGAAGGCTGTTGTGAATTCATGACTTTCGGCTTGCTCAAAAACCAGATGCAAGGACCAAGCAGAGTCCCCCTGTGCTTCAAAACCCCCTGAAACACCACTGAGATTGAGCAGACATGAGCAGGCCGACCCGGTCACGCGGGCCGAACACGCAAAGCGGCCAACCCTGGCGCATGTGCTGCAGGGACTTCAAGACATAGTCATAGTCGCAACGGGGTAGAATCAACATGTCCAAGGTTCATGTTTCTGCCTTTTGGTGAAGATTGGTGAAGTATGATGTGGCTGCATGTAAGATTGCGAAGAAGGGCCGTCGAGACCGGCCACAGCCACAGCAGCAGCTACAGCTTACAGCTCCAGAGCACGGACGGCATCAGAGAACCTGCAGTCCTTCGAGCTTCTGCGCGATGGACTCCACTGCGACGTTGCGAGAGCAGGTCACCTGTTCGTCTCTCACTGCCACCATTCAAACGATGTACGCAATCCCCTTGCCCCGTGCTAAGAACTGCGCAAGTACACGTTGGCCTCAGTGGAAGACTTCTTGGAGGAATGCGCCAGTCATTGCAATTGCTCTGTACTACTCTTTGAATTCAACACCTGCAGCAGCAAGCGCACTCTAGGGCTTTGGGGCTGGGACCTGCAGGCACCCTCGCATCCTTGGCCAAGGTGCAGTGTCTTTACTTTGTCAGAGACTACTAAGATTAAGAGCCCATCCGGTCTTGAAGCCTGGATCTTAGCTGCAAGAGCATGTATGGTCCTGGCCTAGGTGCCGATGCATGGACTCCCAAAGCAACGTGCATAGCTCCACGCGGTAATCCAGCAGAAGCGTAAAGTGGAAAAGAAAAAACTACCAGCAAGGCTCCAAACGAAAGAGATGCTGTAGCACCCATCCAGATATTCACAGTGAGCCCACCATCCCAAGGAATTGACAATGTACAGGGCCCTCCAATGCAAAGTACAACTCTCGCGATACTGTAGATCTCAGGATGCTCGTCTAACCTGGTGGCATATGGGATCATATTGGCGCAAGGGCTTTCAGATTGGAGCTGGCCGTGACGTCAGGTCAGGTTTTGGCGTTCCAAAACGTGTCCAAAACCTTCACTTATTCAAACGCCGGCCCGCTTCACTGACGTTGTTTGCGAAATTCTACGAAATTCTTGAGACTATTCTTGAGAGACATAATACCCACCCCTGAAATCCCCAGAGCCCCTCAGGACAATGTGTACGCTCAGCCAAGCGGCCAATATGTGAAAAATTGTCGTCGACTTGCCGGTGCCAGGCGGGCCCTGCAATGCTTCTGACCCACCGAATCCCAGTACGACGGGCTTGTGGTCGAAACGTGCTGTGTGGCATGGCGCTTTTAGCCCGGGCTCTGTAAACCCCAGTCGAACCCAAAATGTCCTGGATCTTCTCCAAGGCGTACTTGAGGCCTTCGATAGCTGCACGCTGCGAAGGGTTGACCTGGCTTGTGCTGGCGCAACCCTTCAGAGGAGATGAAAGATGCTTAGCAAGTTAGTGGAGCAACAGCGCTTTGAAGCTGAACGGAACTACTATAGTTGAAGCAAACAACTTGAAGGCGACAGGTTTTTCTCGTGATTCTGCAGAACTGATCGGAAGTGTTCGGTGCCAGTCGGTGCTCAGCCGAAAAGGTCGAAGTCCATCTCCTCCTCTTCCTCCTCCTCTTCAACCTGCATTGCTTCGAGCATATGGCATATGTGGCAGAGGTGCCAAAGAGAACAGCACTCAGTCACACTCAGCCAATACGCATCCACTGCGGGCTCTGCAGCAATCAGGCGCAAACGCTGTTGCTGGTTGCATAGCAACTAATGAGTTTGGACTGTGGTGGAGATGTGTCAGTCGCAAAAGTGGTATAAGGGATAAGAACATGACCAGTCTCGATCCTGCTAAGGATGATTGAGCGATGCTTCTTTGCCTTGGGTGCCCGCTTCACAAGCTGGCAGCTGCTGGAGAGAGGAGACAATGCTGTGACAACTATCATTTTCACTCCGATCGCCATCATGGCTGCAACACGCATGCCGATTCCTTCACCTGCAAGATGCCGCCGAATCCTTCACCCTCAAGATGCAGCACGAAAACATGCAAAAACATCCTCCGGCCTTCTTCTCTTCCTGTCGGGAGGGGGCCCAGGTATGAGGAGGCAGAGAAAGGCCAAGGCAGAGATTGCTTCGCGTTGCTTCGCGTTGCTTCGCGTTGCTTCGCGTTGCTTCGCATTGCTTCGCATTCTGGGTATGTCTTACAGGGCTGTCATTATGCAACTTGCATCTAAGTTCTGAGTCACGCGAACCACCCATGAGCGGCAGCAGGGGAAGTTAGATACATAAAGACGGAACGATACAGAAAAGATGCCAAAAGACCCCATGCAACCAATGAAACTCTGCATGTTTCTTTACGCCGTACACCATCGGTACATACCCGACATACCCCCTGCATCCACTCAGCTTCCGGTCCTTCTTCGCCTCTGCAGCCGGCGCGGCACCACCGCCGCCTCCACCGCCAATGGCGGGGCCACCGCCGCCGCCACCGCCAAAGCCCTGCACACAAGGAAAACAACAGAAAACGCCAAATAGCCAGTGCAGCCAACCTTTTGTGAAAGAAACTCGCGCAAAGGCTGTTGCACGGTGCTGCCCTGCATATCTTATTGCTGCTGAAGACTGTAAAGATGAGTTCCCTGCCATTCTCAACGGTCAACGAATACAAGATTCGGAATGTCCTCATGGCAACTCCTGACAACACCGCCCTTCGTGGTCCTTTGTGCCCACTCAGACCCCTGAAAAGCCCTAGTGAGGACCTTCAGCTTCTCCTTTCCTGCAGCCACGACCTGAGGCCATGTCATGCTTCTGTGCCATTCTCAGGCTGGATCTCTTGAGTCCCGGTTCAGGGTGAGCTTGCGAGCTTGCCAGCTCACGAGTTGAAGCCCCAGGCCTCGTGCACCGTCTTGCCCTCGAGCCTCGGCCGGCCGTTGACTGAAAATAAGAAAGTCGAATCAAACTAAACTCGGTTCACCCACTCCAGATGCCGCCGAAGGACTCGGATACCAGCTTGCTGGCAATGCTCTCATCCTGGGGCTGTGCGCAACCAGATGCTTCGGAATTTGGTATTAGAGAGGATACAAAAGGCGAGATGGCGCGCGTGCGGAATGGATGCATGTTGGGAGTGGTGCTGATTTCTCCGGCCCTAAAACACTTCGCAACACGTGCCGCCGTGCACAACATCGCCTTTTAATGAACAGCTGTGGTTCGGGTCGCTCCAAACCATACGGCAGTCGCTATTGAAGCGCCTCCCAAGCATCGTTGCGCTTGCTCTACTCTTCTTCCACAGCTCGCTGGCAAGCGAGAGGGAGAAGCGATTGTTTGTTCTGGCTTCGCTTTGGAAGCATGATTTAAAGCAGTCTAAGTGAGCATCGCTGTTCTAGAAGGCCTGCCAGGAAGTTTCTGTTAAAGGCAGCTGGTGTCGAGTGCCCCGGAATGCTACATCAGGGCAATGGAATAACCACGCTGTGCCCCGGTCTCCAGTCGAAATCCTTATCGACTACATAGCGGTGCGAGAACTGGAACCCTCGGCATCGCTCACATAGTTGTACACCACCTCTTCCAGCCTGCCGCGAGGCACTGTGATTCGCTTCCATACAGTCTTCCAAGAAGAGCATTGAATATCTGTTACAGCAGCTCGTCTGGCCACGCTTCAATGTTTCAAGCATGCACCTGCTCTCAGAAATATGACTAGCCACTGACAACTTCGACAAGTGACACTCCAGCATCTCCAAGTGGCTTCAACCATGAGGAAGACAGAAGTTGATCCGTTGGAGCAGATCTGAATCTATCTAAATTCTGAGCCCTTGGGGGCTGCTGGAATTAAACTCAAAGAGGTTCTAACCCGAGCCTAAATTGAAGAGAAACAGGGTGGGTGGGGGGAACTAGGCTTAAACAGGTCCTGCAACGCGTGCTCTGTGAACGACGTTCGCTTCGACATGTCCCGAGGTCTCGACACATGGTTGAAATTATGTTGAAATTCAGGCGAAGCCTCCCAAGTACCCAAAACCCGACCACCTGATGCCACTTTCCACACAACCTTGCAAACCATGAAGCCTTAGTAACCCCCAGCCTCCAGCCATGTAGTACGGATTCTGGCAGGGAAAGGAGGCATGGAGTTGGAGTCGCTGAGGTGTTAGAAGTGTTGAGGCCAGCAATTACAACTTCGGCGGAAGAAAGATCAAGCATCTTCATTAACCACCTGCGTACCTCATACCAATCTTATTCATGAAGTACAGTAACTACAGTAACCCAGCCGCGGAAGCCTGTCCGGAATTCTCTCTCGCTGCGCAAAGTAAATACCAGGGGACCCTGACTCAAAGTAACCCTAAACCCTAAACCCTAAACCCCAAATCCTTTAGACCCTAAACCCTAAAGTAACCCCCCAGGTGTCAGGGTATCGGAGCCAAGGCCCCGACCCAAAGGCCGTTGTGGTCGTAGAACCCTTCCTTGCAAGGCCGTTGCGTCCCAAAACCTTAAACCCTAAACCCCTAAACCCTAACACCTGTAAAGGTGGCTGACAGAATTCTGATTGCGCAGTGTACGTCGCCGAGGTACACTTCTGTGTATACATCTAGAGAACTGGGGTGAGTGCGTGTATGTGTGTACCTGTGTACTTATGTGCGGATTTGTACAGCTAGAACAACTGTCAAGAAACAGCCAGTAAGAGCCATTATTCAGACGTTGGGTGAAGCAGGTGTACGGTAGATAGATTGATAGAAAATTAGACAGACAGACAGACAGATAGACATACGTACAGACACAATATAGTGGTGAGCATACATAGTATATACACATATCTATTCATACATGTACATACAGAGGCTAGCTAGATTGAGCGTCCCAACTCCTAAGGCTTGTGCTCCAGAGGCGCAAACCGAAAGCTACCGTCCAAGCTGAGGATGCAGGAAAGTCGCGTGGCACCTGTGCTCATCTTCGTCCCACCAGCCTTCAATATCCTGCTTCCCGATCTTGTACTTCTTTGCCAAACCTAGGCCAGACTTTCAAGCTACTGACTGAGCCAGAAATTGACACGCCCTCAGCTCGGATTCCTTGTCTCAAGGAGCAGTCGGGTCTACCAAAACATCTGCGAGGCTCTGTCTGACTCCGTAGATACGAAAATTCAGAACCCCCCCAGCCGCCCCAGCCATGTATGAAACGGTCAGAAACCCGAAAGCTTGTGGCCGATGGCTGCCGAGCAGCACTTCTTCTCATGCTCTATCCTGACAGCTTCACAAGTTCAAGCTCGCACGGTTTGTATGGTTCGTGCTTTTGCGCAAGCGGGCCCATTCTAAAGCCCAATGCGGCCACGGGCACCACTTCTCTCGCTCACGCCGCTTCTGCTCGTGCAAGCGAATCCCTTCCTGAGCGACAGCAGGCTGACAATGGGCTCAGCTGCTTGCCCTTGCGAAGACATGATGAGGCCAATGAACAATGAGGTACCGGCCGGAGTGCACCGATCCTTGCCGCTGACAAGTGTAAGAACTCTGGAGATGGACAGGTTCGGGCAATCACACCATCACCCGAGCTCGTCTTGCAAAAAGCTCCTCGCAGCTACTGCATCCAGTTCACTTCAAGCATTCTCGATGCCGGCCCAGTTCGGTAGGTCTTGGAAGGGCCTTGAAGAAGGAAGTTTTGCCTCAACGTCAGGTACAAAAATGATTTGGACAGCTCACGGGACCAATTGCTTAATCGGGGTCACTGGTGGAACCTGGACCTAGATCGGATCATGGAGGCTGGCACAGCTGAAGCGAACGTGACCAGTGAAACTGCGACATTGCTTTGCAGACGGGGGCCTTAGGATGTCGCGGACGTAACCTCAGAGACAGGACGCCACTGAATCTACCAAACGAAGCCAGGGTTGCCGACGTGGTCTCATATCCAAGCAACCTATTAGGGACGGAGTGCTGGTATCCCTCAAATCATGCAGCTGTGATACTGTTGGTTCTGCGGCAGTCAATGCTGAGATCTTCCTGAGCAGCAAATCAGCAGATTCAGCGCAGCCTCGTGAAACAGACAAAGTAGCATCAATCAACATCAGCCAACACGTGTTGTGAGGTGTTGTGATTGTTCCGCACCTTTCTGTCTACCAGGTTCACCAAGAGGATGCACCCTCGTCTGGCACTGTTCATGTAATTAACCTTGTTTCAATGCTGAATGCAAGGAAGCTTCCATGTTCTCTGGATCCCGCTCAACAGCAGCCGCAAAGGCCCACACCTCAAGTTTGACTTCTCAAGGATCTGTACATGCAGCCGTTGAGCCTTAAGGACAAAAAGCGCAGTGACGCAATGTCACACCTGCGACATCGGCAGATGAAGAGAAGCCACTCTCCTTGGGCGGTTGAATGCGGCTGAGCTCGTTGCGGGCAAGCACCAGTGTCGTCGACCCCGGCCGGGCAGGTATCCGGATACC